AATAAAATAAAATAAAATAAAATAAAATAAAATAAAATAAAATAAAAAAGAGTCAGACACTCCTTTCCTCCCTTCCTTCCTTCCTTCCCTCCCTACCTCCCTCCTTCCTTCTCTCTTTCTCTTTCTAAGTAAATGGCTGGGACCCAAGAGATCTTAGATGGATACAGATTTTGGCATTCATGCTGTCATTTCTCCACTCATTTTTTTTTTTCCATTTATTAGCAAACCCGTATTCCCTGAGTGGCCTGCTGTGGATTCAAGTGTAAGTCCTAGCTCCTGTCCTGGAGGTTTCCACCTTCTAGGAAGAGAGGCAGACAGGTAAGCAGGAGTGACTGGAATGGGGGTGGTATGTGAGGACTCCAAGGGCTCTGGTGAGAGGCAAAGGGCGGGGGACACCGCCCCCCACCCTGGGAATGGGGACAGGCATCAGGACAGGCCCCAGGCCAGTGGAGGATGGGTGTCTGCCTGGCAGAGAACTACCTTGAGAGCAGGTGTAAATGCACATAGGAAACCCAGTCCCACTATTTCATCATAACCAGAAGACTGGGATCTGCCCAGGGATCGCAAAGCTGAGCGTGTGAGAGCTGTCACTCCCAAGACCCTCACGTCCATCCCCACCAAGAGTGCGTGATCTCAGCAGTGAGGGACCTGGGGTTGCCTTCCATCCAGCTCCCTGGTCTCTGCGGTAGCTGGATGTCCACTGAGAGGTCTCCCTCCCAACTCCACAGCCTCCTTCTGCATGAGACCTTTCCAGTGTTTTCCAGCCCACATGAATCACCTCTTCTCTTGCACCCCTTTTCCAGAACACTTTCCCTTCACCCAAACCACAGCCCTCCCTAGAACATTCCATGCTTTACAGCAGGCTTTGAACATGGCTTCTGGCCCTCACTGGATTGTTCTCTCAGACCACTGCCGGGACCGAGTCTTACTGAGCACGGGTCTCTAAAATGAGTGAATGTTCATGTACCAGAGCCTTGGGATCTGTATTAACATCATTGCTTTGTCACCTCATGGATTTTTTTTTTTTAATTTGAAATTTGAAAGTCGAAGGATAGAGCTTTGGTGTTTGCAAATTATCCCCAACCTAGCACCTTCATGTTACAATTGTACTATTATTATAATTGCAATGAGAGCTGATTTGGGCTTCTAGGGCTGGGACATGGCAGGTCCTCAATTGCTTCTCAAGTTCCAAAGGAAAGGGGTCTGAATGAGAGAATGTCATATTAGAGCTTTGGAGACACAGGAGAGATGAAACCAGGCTGTCCAAGCATTGTTTCATGGAGCTACTTTGGAGCCACTTTGTTGAGTATATGAAAATCATTTGTAGTTTGCACGCCTATGCGTTTCATGACATTTACTGCCTCAAGTGTACACAAGGGCTTGAGAACAGTTTCTCTGTAGTCCTATCAGCATTCCACCAGATTCCAGAATTACTACTGTTTTTCACAGACTAACTCTCTAGCACTCCATGATGGCAGCAGTGGCCAATTTGGATACAGCATGGGACATTTGAAAGTGCTGGGGCTCTGTCATCACTGTCCTTGCCAAATAACTTGAAATCCAAATGGCTTCAAGGAGCAAGACCAGGGTGGCTGTTGCAGAAAGTGTTGTTGGTGTGGAATGCTGTGACTTACATGGAAGGTGCATCCCTGTTCTAATGAACTTAGCTCACGATTTGGCATAGGTTGCCTGGATGCGTATTTGGAAATTGTTGCACACTTTTACTGTATAAAACCCTAGGGCTCTGGGACAGGGAGGAGTTCCCAGCTCATTGAGCCAGTCCTGTGGGCAACAGAGAATAAGGATGAGGCTCAGAGCTGGGAAATGACCTTCCCCAAGGTTCTGCAGTCAATGAGTGGCTAAAATGAGATCAGGACGCAGAGGCCATGGCTCTCTGTGCGCTTGGTGGTATTACAGAGGCATTATGGTCAATGTTATGTCCTGTGTCCATTTGGCCTTGGGTGACACGATAACCATCTGACCTACCCAAGGTGCCAAGCTGCACTTCTGCTCTCTGGTTGCAAAGTTCCTACATAATCAGTCCTCAGCTGATTCTTCTGACCTTCTCTTCCTCCCTCCCCTCCCCTGCCCTCCCCTCCAAAATACACTTTCTCTTTTACAGTTTCATACTGTTCCTCGTTTGGACCATGCTCACTGGCCAGCATTTCCCCATCCCCTGCAATGGCTACTTCTCCCTCATTCTTATGCAAATGGCCGTATCTGACCAAAATATCAGATGACCTGAGAGCATCTCCTCCCATGGGATATGGAGGAAAAAACTTAGGTTTTGGTAACAGAGAGCTCCATGGGGTCACGGGAGTTCTGTTCATGAATGAATGACTACGTTCATTCCAAATGTACGTATGTGTGGCATTCCTACTATGTGTCAGGCCCTAGTCTAGGAGTTGAAGGTACATATGTCAATGGTAATAGAGATTAAAAAGAAAGATAAAGAAAGTGACTGGGGGTGGGGTGAGGTGAGGAGAAGTGAAATCCTATTTTGGACTGGGTGGTTAGGTTGGGCTCCCCTGAAAAATAAACCCTGAACAGAGGCCTAAAGAAAAAAACATGCAGATATATTGGGGGAAAGCATTCTAGGTAGACGGACTAGCAAGTGCAAAGGTCCTGTGGCAGAAAGATATGTGGTAAGTTCAAAAAAAGAAAAGGTGAGGAGGCAGAGGTGGCTGAAGCAGAGTGAAGGAGGGGAAGTTGCAGGTGATGAACCACTTTGCGATACCATCGCAGAGGGACTTGTTGACTTTGATAGGGGTCTTGTGCCTTACTCTGAGTAAAACAGGACACTGCTAAAAGGATTTAAGCAGAAGAGTGACAGCTGGGAAATCTGTTTAAGGGGTGACTGTGATACGCTGGGCAAGAGGTGATGGCTTGTGGGTTGGTCTAGGGCGCTGGTGATGAAGGGTGTGAGAAGCAATTGGATTCAAGATACATCTTAAAAGTAGAGCTGATGGGATTTGTTAGCTTGGTTATGGGGTATGAGAGAATGAGAGAAGTCTAGAATAACACCAGCTTTTTCGGACTGAACATCTGGACACATGGAATTGCCATTGGCTGAGTTGGGGAAGATGGGAACAGGGCAGTTTTAATGTTGGGTGTGTTAAGTTTCAGCTGTTTATCAGAGTCAAGTAGTCAATTGGATATACGAGTTGGGAGTTCAGGCGAGGCGGGCTCAAGGCAACAGGGAAGAATTTGGAAGTCATCAGCATCCATCTCTATGATGGTATTGAAAGCCCACCCAGATATCAATAACTCATATTGGAACTCTGACTCAGGGAGGTGAAGTAAATGTTGTTAAATAACATTGATTAAGACCACCCAGCCCATAAGCTGGCTGAGCTGGGATTCCACCCAAGTCCATGTCACTGTTGCTCTGCTGAGCATCAGTCAGGAAGCAGATCACAGCTCATTTTAAGGAGTTCAAGGGCGTGGTCTTTCTCTCATCTTTGCCAGACACATTTCAGCTGAGAATTTCTACCAGCTCAGCCCCCACCTTCAAGTTAAGCATGGCCTGAAGATCGGGCACTTCAGGTGCAGGATGAAGTAAAGCCCGAGGGTACACAGAGTGCTGCCCATGCCAACACGGCACACGATGTAAAGCAAGGGGGGACAATTTGAAAAAAAGCATTAGTGATGAGACACGAGACAGAGTCACGCCTCTGCTCTAAACACCGGCTACAGTTTAAAGCAAAGACATTACCAGGAGGCGCTTGTTGATTTCCTAGTGCCAGAGGTCAGAGGACAACGCCCACCCTCCCGGAGGCAGGTGTGCATGGCACACTGGCCCTCTGCAGGCGCTCGGCTCTGCTGTCCTCTCTTTTAGGCCAGGCCACAGGTAAATAAGTGCAGCGGACTCCATCTAGGAGAGTAAGATCTGACTTGTCCAAGGTCTGCAGCTAGTACATGGTACCATAGGGATCTGAACTAGGCTTTCCAGACCCCTGAGCTCCTGGCTGTTGCACTGCACTGCTTCGTAAGGGAAAGGAGAGAAGGGGCTGGAGGAATCTTGAGAGAGCATCTCGTGTCCTCCATCCAAGTATCCCTGGCATGCAGTTCTGGGAATGGCCAGCAGAGGGGACCACGCACCCGGGTTTCTCCAGCCCGCCGCCTGAAGCCATGTTGAATGAGCAAATGTCTGCAGCAGACTATGAGATCTAAATGTCTCCTTGGCAGGAAATCCTCGAGGAGCACTGCGGGGTTGTGCAAACAGCCTTACAATGTCCGCTTGTGTGTGTGCACTCAGCTTCGCCTGCGTCGCCCACAATGCTCTGTTTTTTTTGGATAATGGGGCTCTGTGGACCCATACGCCTTGTCATGCAAAGGGAGGGACCTGTATTTGTCATAAATGGGCTCTTGTATGATTAATAGCTGGGCGAAGGAGCACGCAGCAGCCGTTCAGCACCCGGCTTCACGTCTTCACTGAGGCGGTGGTCTGAGTCGGCTTTCTTCCCTTGCTCCAAAGCAGCAGTGCAGTATTTATTGCTAAAAGGGAAATGACTTGTTTACGTTGTGGCTGCAGTTTGGGCTATGCACGACAGGAGGTGCAGAAAACTAGTATTTGTTGTCAGGGGCTGACTGCACGCCCGCTACTTAATTGGCATTATCTTTATTTCCTCAATAGCAACACTGCAAAGGAAGTATTATAATTTGCATTTTACAGATGAGGAAAACTCCCGATTCCGAAGAGTAGCAGGACTTGCCCAAGGTGTCCAGAGCGCATGGTATTCCCATTAAACGACTCTCTTTCCTTTTCAGTGTGGTCCACGGTCCACACACTTGAAGATGCCTTCCTCGTCCTGTCTGGCTGCCCACACACTGAAATCTGTGATTTTCAAACAGATGAGGAATTTCCATTCCCGGGCTTCGGTGTGTTTATAGTATCTCCTGGAATTATATGCAAAAAAAAAAAAAAAAAAAAAAATGGGTCTGTGTGGATGTGTGCATTTTTCTGAGAAGGCTGATTTACATCAGATTCTCGAAGTCATCTGCAGTCATATTTCTATTTGGGGACATGCTTCTTTTTCTCTGACCTCTCCCTCTTACAATGACTGTTTTCTCTGTTGAGTGTATTCATAGCTGACATCTCACTGTAGCTATGCCGAGCCTACTCTTGTCACCCTTCCGAGCAGACAGAAGTGAGGAGGGCTGTGTGCTGTGCTGGACCTGGGTTTGGTGCTCGGTGGAGCAGAGGAGGGAGGATGCAGTGAAATGGGTAACATTCTGAAAATGAAGAAGACATAGCCCTTGAAAGAATTCACAGCAAGTAGGGTTGTTTACTCAGCCTGGGAGTCAGGTAGGAGGTTTCTGGGAGGAAATGCTATTTGATTTGGGTCTTGAAAGGTAGAATATTGGCAGGCAGAGGATAGGGGAGAGGCATTCCAGGCAAAGGGAATAACATAAGCAAAGGGGGGGGGAAAAAAGGCAAGAAGGAGACCAGAGCTGTTGGCACTGTCCATATTCTGGTGTGACCAAAGTACACAGTGTTCGAAGGAGCTGAAACTTGAAAGGGAGCTCTGGGTCAGATTTTATGGCCCTGAATACCATGTAAAAAAAAAAAAAATTGTGCTCATCTTAATTTGACAGCCAGCTTGGAAAACATTTATGCTAAAACACGCCCTCCTTCCACCCAGCTAACCCCATGTCCCACTCAGCCATGGAGTCTGCCTTGGGAAGCAGTTCCTTGCACAAGAGCCACGTCTCCCAGTGCTCAGCAAACCCGCCCCACCCACCTCTCCCGTCCCAGCCCAAGTTGATGGTCTCCATCACTTGCTTGGGGTTCAAGCCAGGGATTTTACTTAAAAATGTTAGTTTGGTCTGCCATGAACAATACTTTGAAATCAAGCTAATGGCTGCCTTCAGAAACTGGAAACAAAAGCAGAACCACTCCTGCCTCTGAGATTTCAAGGGAGGTTTTCAGGCCCTTCGATGCCCTTCGTGCTTGAGATGTAGTGGAGCATCCCAATCTCCCTTGGCTTCAAATTCTTCAAGTTTTTAGTATGTGAAATGGCTTTTGTTGGTCTTTTTGGCACTTACATAATTTTTGACATCTCCCCCCAAATAAATTTGACCTGGGAAATAATATCCTGAATGCTTTGACATGTCAGTTCCAAGTCTCCTTGGGTATACAGGTGGGCCCCAGTTTAAGAAAACTCAGCATCTGAAAACCGAGACTTACAAATCAAGTCAACCCACGGCACTGGGGTGGGTGGGATTTTCCAGGGGGCTTTCACTTCCCAGAAGGATTTCTTCCAATAGCACCTCCCTGTGCATCAACCTGCTAGATCATATTTCACCACCTGACAGTGAACTATGGAGGTAAAGAAACTTCGAGCACAAATGTGTGATGCAGCTGCCCATGGAATGAAAACCAGGCAAAAACGAGGGGAAATCTTTTTTTTTTTAATGTTATATTGTAAGTTAACAGAAATGGAAGAGATTTAATCCTCCAGCAATCGTTTTGCACGTGGCGTTTCCTGTGACATGCTCTGGAGACTAGTACGTGATCTGAGGTGCTTGGAGTACCTGGTGTTGAATTAGTGGGGATGGGAGGGGTAGGGAGAGTGACTCAGGCGATAAGGAGATACTGCAGCGAAGAGGAGGCATGGAGAAGGGTGGGTCTCGGGGAGATGTGAAAGTTAAGTGGATAGTTTGGGGAAGAAAATGGATCTGTGGAGTGTCGTAGGTACAGAAATCTCAGATGACACTCGGGTTTCTGGCTCATACAATTAGTTGAATGATGATGCTTTTCACTGAACAATGGAAGGGAGGGATATTTGCAGAGAATATTAAAACCCAAACCCAAATCGCTGTGCTTTCAGGAAATTCACTTAGATTTGCGGGCCTGGAGTTGAGGAGGAAGGTCCAGTTTGGGGCTAGGGATTGAGAAGTCTTCAGCATATGGGCAAAAATTGGGAGTCCGAAGGGTATCACCTGAGAGAGCGGGGAAGGTGTGAAGAGAGACAACTGGAGACTGACATTTTAAAGGTTGGATGGAGGAAGTGGAAACTTGAGAAGGAACACTCTGGGAGAGGAGGAAGGAGCAGAGATCAGGGAGCAGAGTCAGGGAGGTGGGTTTGACCCAGAGCACATGCGCCAGGACTCAGCTCCTCCCTCAGAGGAGGGGGAACCGGGTGCTCGTTGAGCTACTTACCTGAGAAGGAATTCTGGAAAAAGGAGATTTGTAATCCAAGAGAATGGACAGTGTTTAATCTAAATCATTGATGGTCTGGACAGCCCAAATTTTAAGTAACTTCTTGGTGTTTCCTTTCGGTTTCTAGACTGAACTGAGGCCAAACCAGAAAAGTCGAGTAACTACCCCTTAATTTCGTTTAGGCAATGCACCTAGGACTAGCGCTTAGGTCCCCAGGCTGCTGGCTCTGCAAGGGGTCACTTCCCCTTTGAAATTAAGCAGAACTGGCCTGGGTGGGCTGAGACTTGTCAGTCCTCCTTCTGGGTCAGGGGCAGGCCGATCAACCTGTTTGCTCACAACCGTGTTCTTGGTTTCACAACTGAAAGGGAACAAATTCACTAATGACTTCCCAGCGGCGGGCTGGTCCGGAGCAAAGCCCCAGCTTGATTGTTTCCATACTCACGAACATTTGAAACTGGGGGGCATGTTGACTTTCATTCCCTAAAAAAGAATCAGATTTTGCCCTCGTTTCTTGGAGGCTTTTTGCTGCTTTAATATTGATGTTTATGGGGAAATTAGCTATGATGAGGTAATAGTCTATTTTAGAAAACTGAACTCAGATACTGAAAGGGCTATTTTAAACCTGCATTTAATTGTTGCATTCCATAATGGTCTCTTGGTTTTTTGTTGTGTTGTTGTTGTTGTTGTTGTTGTTTTGAGAATTCCCACGGATTGTCTTGCTCTAGTAAGACTCTAGTAGTTTATATTCCACGGGGACTGCCAAGCTCTTTTGAGGGACACCGTGGTATTAATGATCGATGAGAATATTCAAGGCATTTTCCCAGTTGAGTGCCATTACTTGTAGTGTTAAAACGTTTTGAAAACACATTTTAGCCATTAACTCATTTTTATTGTCAGATGAAAGTGCTTTAATAGACTCACTCTACTTCAGTTCTCCTCCTTCATCTCAGAATGAAATCATCTGTTGGATTCTTGGCAACCCATTTGGCAACACAATGGAGAACCTTACGACTTCGTTACCGAAGTGGCAGATGGGGAAGGGCATTCCAGCCCAGCCCAGCTATCTAAAATCACTAACCTGGCTTAGCAAATTCTGGCTCCTGGAATTTATAAGCTGAGCTACTTCATTCCACTGGTGCATTTTGTTCCCCCCCAGCAAAACAGGTGCTTATTTCGTTTAGGCAATGCACCTTTATTTTAGTTGAGAGGTATTTTTTTTAAAGGCACCTATTTTATATCTAATGAAGTATAGGCTGATGGTTAACTGGTTTTGCTTATAATTCAAAGCAGTCAGGTCGTGTAAATGGTGTACTGGGGGGTTCTGTGGTGACCAGAGAAAGTGTCTGGGGGCCCTGTGAATAGCAGACTATCAGCACAGACTGTCTTTCCTCCTGGGACATCTCCCTGAAAGCTGCTGATGGTTCATTGGCGGCAAGCCAGAGGGGTTGTTTTGCTTTGCAGGGCAGTGTGGGGAGCCCACAAGCCTCTGGTGTCACGGGCAGCCACTGCCATCCTGGTCCTTGTCATGATTTCTCCAGCTCTGAACTTTGTTGATTAGGTTGAAAGGTAGATTGTCTTACTAGCCTTCCTAGTAAGCCTCCTCACAGACAGCCCCCAGAAACTTTCCTAAAGCCGGAGCTGGTCTGCTTTTCTCTATTCTGCTGGGAGACATCTCGGGGCGCTGTAGTAGTTAGGAGGTCAGACTTCAGATAAAACTACGTAAGGCCTGTAGCAGGATCCAGCTGGAGGCCCTGGCCTGAGAGCCGAGACCAGGCTCCCCTTGGAGCTCTGCTCCCAAGTCCGGGCAAGTAACTGACCAGGTTATCAGTTCCGAGATTTTTTAATTTCAATAAACCAGTAAAATTTCAAAATAAACTTTGGGGATTTAGGATGCAACTCTCACCTTTGCTTTGTAAAATAAGTAAAAACACTGCTGCATAAACATGTTTGAATAGCTTTAGCTTTCTGCAAGCCTCATGACATAGCCTTTGTTTTTCATGTTTTGCCCTAGACTAATGATGCTTTGTAACCACAGGGCAGAGTAGTTAAGGATTGCTTGTTTTTTTTTTTTTTAGCGTTAACTGTGTGCTAGGCCCTGCGCTAAGTGCTGGGGGTACAGTAAGGTATAAAAACAGCCCTGCCCAAGAAGACCTGACCTTGAGAGAGGTAAGGGATAAAGGGTGTAATCACTCACAGTCCAGGCTGATAGGCACCATGACATAGTCAACACAGCATGTTGGATGAACGGAGAGAGGTAGAGCTCACTCGAGGGAGGGGATTTTGTTTTACCTGAGGTGGGGTCATAGAGTAGGGAGGAGTCAGGGGGCTCCTTCTGAAGGCCCTGGTTTCCAAACTCATACTTCAAAGGGAATTCCAGGGAGGCACTTGCCAAAACCAGTGCTTAGAGGTCACATGGAATTGGATTCCAGACCCTGCTCTGCCACCTGTGGGCTTGAGAAAGTTTCTAAATCTTGAAGATTCTTTTTTTATCTCTAAAATTGAGATAATAACTGTTCCTACCTCATATGGTTGTTGTAAAAATTAAAATATGCTAATACATGAGAAGCTCTCATCACTATGGCCTGCAAAGCATTAAAAAATGTTAGTTGTTATACTAATTGGAAGCAGAAGGAGAAGCATGTGCAAGGGCCCTGAGGCAATAAAGCGCAGGGCTCCTTTAGAGAAACACAGGGCATGGGGGGAATGTAGGGTCCCTGGATAGGGAGGAAGACAGGGGACAGAGGAGATGAGCAGAGGCCAGAGGCCAGGTTCGTCTGTGCTCAGTGCATGTATCTGAATGCATTCCATCCCGCAGGCACTGGGAAGCAGTGGAAGCCTATTAAGCAAGGAAGTAACATAATCATATTTGTGCTTAGAGAGAGGGCGCTGCCAGTCTTACGGAGATGAATGGCAGGGTAACAAGATGAGTCAGGAAGATCGGTCTGGGGGTATTTGCTGGATGCAGGCAGGTTCTGCTTGGTGTTTTAGAATTAGAATAATCAAGGTAGGGGCAGAGAGAAGTGTGCACAATTGTATGAACCATCCATGGGGATGTCGCTGTTAGGTTGCTGATTAGCACATTCTGGTGAGACCTTATGAACTTGGAGCAGAAACCCTCCAGTGACAACAACGCACTGCACTGTACTTTTTATGTCTTAAAGAATGGGTTGCATGTCCCAGTTACTTTCTGTGTTGGCGGTTGGAGCATGAGATCAAGAGGCAGGATATCTCCATTCTGGTCCCTTCCTTGGCCCTAATGTGTTGTGGGTCCTTGAGCAAGTGCTTTTTGGTAAAAATAGGAGCTATAAAAAGATGATCCCAGTTCTAATACAGAATGTGTTGTGATGACATTTGGGACTCTGGATCGGGAAGTTCAGAATCCATCTGGAAGACTTAGGGAAAGACCCTACACCTGACCTGTGAGTTCTGGTCTGTAAAATGGGTCCAATAATACCTTTCCTACATTTGACACATGCTGATGTTGAGGGTGAATGTGGCCAGACACCTTTTGGACAAAGATGTGATATTATATGAATCTATGTCGTTGTGTTCGTGATTGGTCTGTGTCTTATATGCTATGCTGCAGAAAAATGTTAGGATCAACCAGGACTTCTTATGTCACAAAATATTGATTTAAAAAAAAAGATTTTATTTATTTATTTGATAAATAAAAGAGGAGAGAGCAGCAGCAGTAGAGGGAGAGGGAGAAGCAGGCTCCTCGCTGAGCAGTGAGTCCGATGCGGGGCTCGATCCCAGGACTCTGAGATCATGACCCGAGCCCAAGGCAGATGCTTAACCTACTGAGCCACCAGGTGCCACCAGTCACCCACGAAGTCTTTGATTTCTTAAAATCTTTGTGCCAGGGGCAGGGATGTTAAGTATTATAGATTCTGGAAGGTATTGGCTCATTCCAAGTGCTAACAAAACTCATCCCTTCTGATGGAGGCATTGGGCATTTGTCATCTTAGACCTTAAGGAAAAAAATATTAGAAGGTAAAACCCTGCAGGGCTACTGTTTTATGTATTTTTTTCCTCACCTTCTGTTCTTATTGATAAAGGTGATCTTGGCTTTGGAATTCTCCTTTCAAATAGTCTTAGCTACTAAAGAAATCTTCTGAGGGCCTATTCTCTAATCAAGAAAATTGGCGTTGAAATTCTGGTGGATGCAGGAAAAGGTCAGCGTTCACAATAATGTCTGCACCCTGGGCCTGAGTCCTTTGTTATGTCTTACTTAGAGTAAACAGATTAATTTCCTCACAAACTATGACCACATTTTTTAAAAGCAAGCTCAGTTTGGTTTTATTTGGTTTTACACTCTGGGAATACTGCTAATGCTATTATTCAATTTTTCCTTCCAAACAAAAACAGAGTTCCAAATTATACACACACACACACACACACACACACACACGTGTGTATGTGTGTGTGTCCTTTAATTTTCTCCTCTCTTTTGGAACTGGAAATGTTAGCAGAGAAATATTTTTTAAGAGTCTTTGTTTTCTACTGAGGAAGCTTAGAGCTAACTCCCATGGAAGTCATTTTGCTCCCAGAGCCAAGAAAGTAGTCGTAGAAAATACAACATGCACATCCCAAATTGTTTCCCATGGGAGATGAGGGCTTCCCTTGGCAGGGACATGTGGGCCTGTCTCTACAGGCACTGTTAACACTCCTACAGTGGCTAGAGAAATGCCCTCATTCTAGACTACTTGGAAAAAAATGCGAAAGGACCCATTTCAAAATTATATAGCAGTAAAAGAACCTTGAGGAATAAGCCCTCTGTATTTGGAAGACTTGACGAGTCACCCAGCTTGTGCCTTTTGCTCTCCTCTCATCCCTATAAATACCACCCCCCTCCACCCCCCACCTGGGGAGCTTCTCTTGGCCAGTCCAGATCCATAGGGTGCTTCGTGCTTTCAGGACAGCTCATTTCTATTAAGCCAGCTTTTCTGGGACACTCCACCTACAATGGTTTTCACATCCCTCTCTATCTATGGCATTGAGCAGTGCTCCTGTGAAACAGGCCACTTTGGAATGGAACAGAAACTGTGGACCTTCTTCCAAGAAAAGAGAGTGCATCCGTGTGATAGCAGGTTAGCCTGCATGCAGTTTCCACAGCACATGGACTCCCAAAGTGCCCAGGCAGAGACCACCTAGGGGTCTTGAGCTCCAGGTCTCCTCCTGTGGGGAAGAGAGCATAGACTTCGGGGTCCCAGACTCACAAAGTCAAAGATGATTTTATCTTTTATTCTCCTGCAGGGCTCAGAAGGTGCTTTCACCACCTGAACCTCTTTTTCTTCCAATAAACATGAAGATAATTATAGGGAACTCAAGGGTTGCTATGAGTTTTGAGTGAACTAAAATGTGTGAAAGCTCAAGCATAGCACCAGGCAAAAAGTAGGCATTCAATAAACTGTGGATGTTCTTGTCCCTCTCATGTATAGTAACATAATAATAAGCTATAGGGGCGCCTGGGTGGCTCAGTCATTAAGCATCGGCCTTCGGCTCAGGTCATGATCCCGGGGTCCTGGGATTGAACCCCGCATTGGGCTCCCTGCTCAGCGGGAACCTGCTTCTCCCTCTGCCACTCCCCCCTGCTTGTGTTCCCTCTCTGTCAAATAAATAAAATCTTTAAAAAATAATAAGCTATAATTCTTCTGATTGGTTATTAATATGTACCAAGTACGTACTGTTACTTTTACATTCAATTAACATTTTTGAGCACTTACCATTTATCAGAAATGTGTTATATGCTTCCTGGGTAGATCAAATTCTTTTTTTTTTCCTTTAAATTTCTTTATTGTCATGTTAATCACCATACATTACATCATTAGTTTTTAATGTAGTGTTCCATGATGCATTGTTTGTGCATAATACCCAGTGCTCCACGTAGAACGTACCCTCCTTAATACCCATCACCAGGCTAACCCTTCCCCCCAACCCCGTCCCCTCTAGAACCCTCAGTTTGTTTTTCAGAGTCCATCATCTCTAATGGTTCGTCTCCCCCTCTGATTTCCCCCACTTCATTCTTCCCCTCCTGCCATCTTCTTCTTTTTTTTTTTTAACATATATTGCATTATTTGTTTCAGGGGTACAGATCTGTGATTCAACAGTCTTGCACAATTCACAGCACTCACCATAGCACATACCCTCCCCAATGTCTATCACCCAGCCACCCCATCCCTCCCACCCCCCACCACTCCAGCAACCCGCAGTTTGTTTCCTGGGATTAAGAATTCCTCATATCAGTGAGGTCATATGATACATGTCTTTCTCTGATTGACATATTTCACTCAGCATAACACCCACCAGTTCTATCCACGTCGTTGCAAA